AAACCTTGGTCTCCACAACCCCTTATCTTAACCCAGGCATTCCTTTCTATTGATTCCAGGTCTTTAGATAATAACCAATAGGCAATCAGAAAATCCTGGAATCCATCTATGAGCTGAAATCACCCTTTCCTACCTGCTCCTTACTCCCAGTTGTCCTGCCTTTCCAGACAGAACCAATGTTGAGTGATGTCTTATGTCTCCCTAAATTGAATAAAACCAACTTGTAGCCCTCCCACCTTGGGCACATATTGTCAGGATCTCCCTAAGGCTGTGTCACAGGCCACTGGTCACACATTTTTGGCTCAGAATAAATCTCTTCAAATATTTTACAGAGTTTGGCTCTTTTCATCAGCAATCTATTTTCTTCTTGGGCGTAATGGCATTTTTAACTACTTTGTTTACTGATCTTAGATATGTCATAAATGAATCTTTTTACACCCGACACAGCAAAATCTACGTCTGAAGTGCATGTTACTGTAATCAACAGGAGTTGAAAAATACCTGTTGAGATGTTACCGTTAATGAGATATCACACAGACTTTGAAGATCAGTCAGTTTCGATCTAAATGTAAAGCCCAGGATACTAAAAGCCACCACTCATTTAACACAAAAGCCAGAGAGAAAAGCTATCTACCAGGAGCCACTTGTGGAATGCATAATTCTTTGTTTCCTGCTGTTTGTTAATCATTGATCAAAAATCTATGAATGACAAGACTCAACATTAGATAATGGCAGTCTGTAGGGAAAAAGGACTTCTCTTTTAAAAGTCTCTTAAAAGAAAAAGAAAAATCTATTGTTCCTTTTCTAACAGAAAGGCTTTGAAGTTTTATTTAAAACAATACATCGCTTCTCCACAACTAGCAACATCTTTAAAAAATCAGCAAATAAAGCAAATGGATGTATAGCTCTGAACATGCTCACAAACAAAAACAAAATAGGCTTCAGAACATCCAAGACTGTGAAATACGTCCTGATATAACACAGTTTCTTAGCAATAGTGGTTGAAATGAATATATTTAAAGTGCTCCTGGGAGTAACACATACTCACTGTGGTGAGAGCAGTAGTAACACACCTACTGTCTAAGGAATGTTCAAAACTCTAGTTTGGAAAATGTCTGCTATCTCTGAGCATCTTTACTTAAGACACTGGCAGGCTCTACTTCTTGACTAGCAATGCTAACATTCATTTTAAGAAAAAGAAGTGCCAGTAAGTGTGGCATTCATGTTTTCTGTTATCAACGCTTTAGTGTTTCTTTTTTAAAAAATTATTTTATACTTTAAGTTCTGGGATACATGTGCAGAACATGCAGGTTTGTTACATACAGATACATTTGCCATGGTGGTTTGCTGCACTCATCAACCCATCATCTACATTAGGTATTTCTCCTAATGCTATCCCTCCCCTTCCCCACTACCCCCTGACAGGCCCTGGTGTGTGACGTTACCTTCCCTGTGTCCATGTGTTCTCATTGTTCAACTTCCATTTATGAGTGAGAACACGTGGTGTTTGGTTTTCTGTTCCTCTGTTTTGCGAGGATGATAGTTTCCAGCTTCATTCATGTCCCTGCAAAGGACATGAACTCATCCTTTTTTATGGCTGCGTAGTATTCCATGGCATATATGTCCCACATTTTCTTTATCTAGTCTATTACTGATAAACATTTGGGTTGGTTCCAAGTCTTTGCTATTGTAAATAGTGCTTTAACAAACATACGTGTGCATGTGTCTTTATAGTAGAATAATTTATAATCCTTTGAGTATATAGTCAGTAATGGGATTGCTGGGTCAAATGGTATGTCTGGTTCTAGATCCTTGAGGAATCACCACACTGTCTTCCACAATGGTTGAACTAATTTACACTCCCACCAACAGTGTAAAAGTGTTCCTATTTCTCAACATCCTCTCCAGCATCTGTTGTCTCCAGATTTTTTAATGATTGCCATTCTAACTGGCCTGAGATAGTATTTCAGTGTGGTTTTGATTTGCATTTCTCTAATGGCCAGTGATGATGAGCTTTTTTTCATGTTTATTGGCTGCATAAATGTCTTCTTTTGAGAAGTGTCTGCTCATATCCTTTGTCCATATTTTGATGGGGTTGTTTTTTTCTTGTAAATTTGTTTACATTCCTTATAGATTCTGGATATTAGCCCTTTGTCAGATGAATAGATTGTAAAATTTTTCTCCCATGCTGTAGGTTTCCTGTTCACTCTGATGATAGTTTCCTTTGCTGTGCAGAAGCTCTTTAGTTTAATTAGATCCCATTTGTCTATTCTGGCTTTTGTTGCCGTTGCTTTTGGTGTTTCAGTCATGAAGTCCTTGCCTATGCCTATGTCCTGAATGGTACTGCCTAGGTTTTCTTCCAGGATTTTTATGGTGTTAGGTTTTATGCTAAACTCTTTAATCCATCTGGAGTTAACTTTTGTATAAGTTGTAAGGAAGGGGTCCAGTTTCAGCTCTCTGCACATGGTTAGCCAGTTTTCCCAACTCCATTTATTAAACAGGGAATCCTTTCCCCATTGCTTGTTTTTGTCAGGTTTGACAACATGCGCGGCATTATTTTCTGAGGCCTCTGTTCTGTTCCATTGGTATATATATCTGTTTTGGTACCAGTGCTATGCTGTTTTGGTTACTGTAGCCTTGTAGTATAGTTTGAAGTCAGGTAGTGTGATGCCTCCAGCTTTGTTCTTTTTGCTTAGGATTGTCTTGGCTATACAGGCTTTTTTTTTGGTTCCATATGAAATTTAAAGTAGTTTTTTCTAATTCTGTGAATAAAGTCAATGGTAGCTTGATGGAGATAGCATTGAATCTACAAATTACTTTGGGCAGTATGGCCATTTTCAAGATATTAGTTCTTCCTATCCATGAGCATGGAATGTTTTTCCATTTGTTTGTGTCCTTTCTTGTTTCTTCGAGCAGTGGTTTCCTTGAAGAGGTCCTTCACATCCCTTGTAGGTTGTATTCCTAGGTATTTTATTCTTTTTATAGCAATTGTGAATGAGAGTTCACTCATGATTTGGCTCTCTGTTTGTCTCGTATTGGTGTATAGGAATCCCTGTAATTTTTGCACATTGATTTTGTATCCTGAGACTTTGCTAAAGTTGCTTATCAGTTTAGGGAGACTTTGGGCTGAGACAATGGAGTTTTCTAAATATACAATCATGTCATCTGCAAACAGATACAATTAGACTTTCTCTCTTCCTACTTGAATACACTTTATTTCTTTCTCTTGCCTGATTGCCCTGGCCAGAACTTCCAATACTATGTTGAATAGGAGTGGTGACAGAGGGCATCCTTGTCTTGTGCTGGATTTCAAAGAGAATGCTTCCAGATTTAACTTATCTTCATCGATTTATCTACCCTTGGTCGTTGATGCTGGTGACCTTTGGATGGGCTTTTTGTTGATGTTGATGCTATTCCTTTCTTTTTGTTAGTTTTCCTTCTAGTCAGGCCCTCTGCTGCAGGTCTGCTGGAGTTTTCTGGAGGTCCACTCCAGACCTTGTTTTCCTGGGTATCACCAGGAAAGAACAGTAAAGATTGCTGCCTGTTCCTTCCTCTGGAAGCTTCGTCCCAAAGGGGCACCTGCCAGATGCCAGCCAGAGCTCTTCTGTATGCGGTGTCTGTTGACCTTTGCTGGGAGGGGTCTCCCATTAGGAGGCACGGGGGTCAGGGACCCACTTCAGGAGGCAGTCTGTCCCTTATCAGAGCTTGAATGCTGTTCTGAGAGATCCACTGCTCTCTTCAGGGCCAGCAGGCAGAACGTCTAAGTGTGCTGAAGCTGCAGTCATAGCCACCTCTTCCCCAGGTGCTCTGTCCAGGGAGACGGGAGTTTTACCGATAAGCCCCCGATTGGGGCTGCTGCCTTTTCTTTCAGAGATACCCTGCCCACACAGGTGAAATCTAAAGAGGCAGTCTGGCTACAGTGGCTTTGCCAAGCTGTGGTGGGCTCTGCCCAGTTCGAACTTCCCAGAGGCTTTGTTGACACTGTGAGGGGAAAACTACCTACTCCAGCCTCAGTAATGGCAGACTCCCCTCCCCCAACCAAGCTCAAGTGTCCCAGGTCAGCTTCAGACTGCTGTGCTGTCAGCGAGAATTTCAGGCCACTGGATTTTAGCTTGCCGGGCCCCATGGGGGCCCAGTAGGATCCACTGAGCTAGACCACTTGGATACCTGGCTTCAGCCCCCTTTCCAAGGAAGTAACAGTTCTCTCTTGCTGGCGTTCCAGGCACCACTGGGGTATGAAAAAAACTCCTGCAGCTAGCTTGGTGTCTGCCCAAACAGCCACCCAGTTTTGTGCTTGAAACCCAGGGCCCTGCTGGTGTAGGCACTAGAGGGAATCTCCTAGTCTGCGGGTTGTGAAGACCGTGGGAAAAGTGTTGTATCTGGGCCGGAATGCACCATTCCTCACGGCACAGTCCCTCGTGGCTTCCTTTGGCTAGGGGAGGGAGTTCCCCAATCCCTTATGCTTCTCGGGTGAGGCGAGCCCCCACCCTGCCTCGGCTCACCCTCCGTGGGCTGCACCCACTGTCTGACCAGTTCAGATGAGATGAGCTGGGTACCTCAGTTGGAAATGCAGAAATCACTCGCCTACTGCGTTGATCTCGCTGGGAACTGTAGACCAGCGCTGTTCCTATTGCACCATCTTGCCAGTCACCCCCCAATGCTTTAGTTTTAAATCTTCAATGGAATTTTGGTTGTTTTTCGTCAATGCAAATAAACCTTAAAAATTTTTATTGTTTAAGTGAAATACTACAAATCTTAAAATATATATAAAAAAATGACATCTGTTGAATTCTGGGTTTGAGAACCTATTTATCTCAGTAACGCACATGAATCAAAAGTATTAAAAGCGGAATTGTGTGACATTTGGCTAAAGTGACATAATAATCAAAGAATTTGGTCATGGTATCCAACGCTTCATTAATAATTAACTCAAAGAATTTAGTTTAAAAGAATGCATTTTACAAACACAGATTCACAACTTTGCCATGTATCCAGTATACCTTAGACAACTCCATGCCCGGCCCACACTGGCTGCAGGGAACACAATTTCCAGACCGATCCCTGAATTCTTGTTGTCTACAGTCTCCTGTTTCACAAGTCACTTTACACAACTGAAAAAAAAAATTAACAAAATGTTATCTTAAAGTATGTTAAATATATTTTTTGCAAGAAAGAAACAATATTTTCAATATTAGTCACACAATCACTGAATGTAAACATTGGTTCAGAGTGAGGTCAATTCAATTTTCACTTTAGGAAGAAAAACCCTTTCTGAATAAGTCAGTGGAACAAATAAATCAATGAGCCAAATTCTTCTCTGTATTCTAGAGAATATTCATTGATTCTCTAAACAGGGTGTCCCATTTTCTTGGAATTAACTGCTACCCTCCTCAGATACCCTCTGGGACCCAAGACACAGTATGACTTAGAAGCTGTTCTCATCTCTAAGTAAGAAGATATTAAAAAAAAAAGTTATGACTTCTTTGTTCTCATCTCTAAGAAAATATTAAAAAAAAAAATGTTATGACTTATTTGATATATGACCCACCCAAGGTCCTTTTGCTACCAGAAAAATTCTGAATTAAAAAATTTTTAATCTTTAAGAAAAATAAACATATTCAATATAATGAATTAAATAAATGGAATAGATTAGTATAGCCACAAAAACTTCTCATTTATTATTTAGACTTACCTGCCATGCGGTTTTGATGGGAAAGTTTCAACCCTTTTCAACTCAACGATATTTACTTAGAGGCTGTCTTTCAAAGAATACTTTCTAACAATCAGGACACCAGTAAAATTCTTGGTGATGACGATAAAGATGGCGACAGTGGCCCAAGTCTCGTAACTCTTCAAAGTAGAAGTGCCACTGAAATCTGACCTTATGCTCAGTTACCACTGAGCCACTGCCTGGGACCTAACCGTATACTCTGGTTCACAGCATAGGACTTAGATGGAAAACTTATACTTTGGCAAAAACAAAGGTTATTTGTCATTTTCCAAAATATAGCTTTTGTCTCTTATTTTATCTGAAAACAACAAGTTCACCTTGTATGATATCATCCTAGAAAAGTATGTCTGTCTGCTTAACAGACAGTATTTCATGAATAATGGTGGTATTATCACAGAACTGATGAAGATGTTGGGTCCAACCTCTTACCCTAAGCAAGAATGCCTGAAGAGCGCTACTGACTCTGCTCTGTGCTCCTTAATGGAAGGTGAGAATCTTAGCAGGCACTGCGGGAACAGACACTGCTGTTCTGTCCAATGCTTACCACACAGGTGAGCACAGGACATTGTTTTTGATGCATAATTCTGCACAAACCTCCTCCACCTTGAAGCAGGAATCTGTGAAGGTATCTGACAACCTCTTTACGGTCAAAGGTTTAATATCTAGGGCAAGTAGGAGGAAGAAGTCAAGGTGAAGTTTGAGACTAGAAAATTATTTGAGGCTAAAGATCTAATAAATTCCTTTTGCCTCAACTCCTCCACAACTCCCAATCCTGGAGTTTATTTATAAGGAGTAGGAGCTTCCCTTCCAGCACAAAGAGATTGTAATCTCTTCCAGAAAGAAATTACACAACCTTCCTCTCAGACCATCAAGAAAGAAATTACAGAACCCTCCTCATATACCTTATTCAATGTATAACAGCCTCCAATTACAGAATGGAAGCTCTCCTACATTGACCTGAATCCCACTTTATCCTTCTTTTTTATTTATTTTCATTTATTTGTTTTTGAGACGTAGTCTCACTCTGTCACCCAGGCTGGAGTGCAGTGGCGCGATCTCAGCTCACTGCCACCTCTACCTCCCAGATTCAAGTGATTCTCCTACTTCAGCCTCCCGAGTAGCTGGGATTGCCAGTGTTTGCCACCATACCCAGCTAATTTTTGTATTTTTAGTAGAGACAGGGTCTCACCCTGTTTGCCGAGCTGGTCTTGAACTCCTGACCTCAAATGATCCACCTGCCTCGGCAGTACAAAGTACTGGGATTACAGGCATGAGCCACTGCATCCAGACTAACTTTGTCTTTCAAGAAAACTTTGTGTACCGTCTTCAGTGTAAATATTTCTTTATATATCTGTAGATCATTATCTCTAGATTAAATAAATTTCATTCTTTTGAACACCTTCATAGATCTTTTATCAAACTTCCAAATATTAAACTTTTCTATCTGTTTTTCATGCTTTTTGGAACCAACAAGAATATAAACAAGTATATAAAATAATAACTTTTAAAAATCTAAATTCTTCATAATCTGTATAGGTCATAGGTTCCAAATTAGAATTTATGGTGGTGGCTCACACCTGTAATCCTAGCACTTTGGGAGGCTAAGGTGGGCAGATGACCTGAGGTCAGGAGTTTAAGACCAGCCTGGCCAACATGGTGAAACCCTAGCCCTACTAAAAACACAAAATTAGCCAGGCATGGTGGTGGGCACTTGTAATCTCAGTGACTCGGGAGGCTGAGGCAGGAGAATCGCTTGAACCCGGGAGGCAGAGGTTGCAATGAGCCGAGATTGTACCACTGCACTCCAGCCTGGGTGAAAGGGCAAGACTCTGTCTCAAAAAAATAAAATAATTTTGGTAGTACTACTACTTATTAACACATGAATTCTTTCACCACATTCTTATGAAAGAAGCAGGAGTTTACTTACCAAATAGCCTAGTAACACTACAAGAGTGAACGACAATTTCTCTTGTTCTAGAAGTACTTTTAAAGCCATCCTTCTTTATCAAATGTATTTATTGTTGAAGCGTTCTAAATAAAAGATAGAAAGGAAGATGTAGTTAATATTAAAAACATCAGTGACTGTGCTCTGTTTCCTATATAACATTTACCACTTACTAGATAAACTAGGTAATAAATATTATTTGTGTTTTAAAAGAAGAAATAGACACCTTTAAAAAAGTAAAATAGACAAATAATATGTAATTCTTTTAAAATTCAGATTATGAGAACTGAAGCTTTGACTACCTATACATTATAAGCAAAACTCTTATAAACTCTCAGTTCCCAGGCTATACCCACCTTTATTGATATTTTCTACCCATGTCTCTACAGTGGCCAATCTGCTTTACTCAGTTTGAAATTCTATTCAAATAGTGACTATATAACCCTCCCATTTATATGGGTTTGGGCATTGACAACAGGGTAATGGTAGTGATAAAATAACAGCCCTCACTGGGCACTATGTGCCAGGTACTGTTTTTAGCATGCTAACTCACTTAATCCTCACAACTGCTCTAGAAGGTAGATCCTATCAACATTCCCATTTTAGAGGTGGGGAAACTGGGACTCAGAGAGGGCTGCGTAACCTGCCCAATGTCACACTGGCTAGTAAGAGGCGCAGCTGGATGCAAACCCAGGTGGAGCACACCTTTCTACAGCTACTGTGTCACATGCACCCTGAAAAAAACCGTGCTGTTAAATGAAGATCCTATGCTTGTGTCTTGACAACTTTTCTTCACTAAGAAACAGACAGATAATATTTGGCATCTGTGGATTCTTTCCCAAAACCAGTATAGTGCAAAGTATGCATGGCAGAAAAATACGCATTCATCTTAAAACATATAAAGGTCATTTACGAGTGGTGAAATCACAGGCACTAATCCAACATTTCAATAAAAGATAAACCAACCCTTCTTATGTTTACGAGGAATGAACTAAAATGTAGAACCAAATCTGGCTGTTTTTTTTTTTTTTTTACAGATTCACACATGTCCAGAGAAGAGATGAAAAAGAAAAAGCAAAGACTCATTTGGCTGCTCCATCAGGTAGAGAAACAGTGGTTCTGTTTCCTTTAAAGTCGAAGCTTCCAAAACTAGCAGAGATCCCAAGTGGATCATCTGACTTAGAAAGAAACCAGGGCACAGAACCAGAATCCTGGGTAAAGAGCTCAAGAAAAACAACAGCGACAACAATGAAGGAGGCAGAGGAGCAGAGCTGCCTCCGCTGTGGGCTGAGCAGCTACCAGGGGTGAGCTGATGGGTACCCCGGAAGTGGCTGAACCCAGACGAACCACGCCCACTGCCCAGGCAGGTCACGTTGCCAGGGCAATGAAAAATCATTTACCTTTGTTGAGTGAATGACCCATTTGAAGTGAATTCAAACAGCTTTTTTCACTTTTCCAGCTTCTTGGTCATAACTTTTTTTTTCTTGCTGGCATATCTCAAAATCATCCAGCAATTACCCAACCATGCAACTTACTGCTTGTGTAGACACAGGGTTAGGGTGAGAAGATAAAAATCACATTCTTTGAAGTGCACGCTTCAGGTTATTTCTTTCATGATACGATCTTAAATTTTTTAAAAAAATGTATTAAGTTTTAAAAGTAAAAAAATGTATAACTTAGGTGGAATTAAAACTAATATGAAAAAACAGGGATGATGCCAAGGAATTTACACAAATATAAGACAAAGAGATTGACAAGTCAGTCGGCACATATCATATTCGAGAAATTAGTTTGGATAGAATGGTCTAGGTGGGATACTACACTCACAACTGAAAAAGGCAGACAAATAGTGAAGCATTTCAACACTGTCACTTTGACGCCATGCATTCAGAAGGAGCTAAAAATAGAACCCATCTCACAGGTGCACTGTGGAGAGCAACCGGGCTAACACACAAAGTGCTGAGCCCAGTGCCCCCAGCAGTTGCTGATGCTGTTAATGCTGCTGTTGTTTGTGAGCTGTGAGACCTGGGATAAGTTACTTAATCCTGAGTCTCAGTTTCCTCATTTCTAAATGGGGCAGAATGACAGTGCCTACCTCCTGAAATTTCTGTGAGGAGTAAGTGAGTTTAACAGCTGTAAAGCACTTTCAGGAGAATTAGCTGATGTCAACTGTTTCTGGCACATGATAAGTGCTATAGAAGTGTTTGCAACTAATATTGTCCTTCATGTTAATGACATGATTCTTGAGGATCAAATGATCTGTTAGGATGTGACAGTCCTCGAAGACTGTAATCCATCGGACGAACAGGAGGCATCCAGGCAGCCGCAGTCACGCGACAGCAGCGTTGGACCTAGGGACCTGCAGAAGGCATCTGAGGACTAAGAATCCACTAACACTTTGAACCAAACATTTATAATGCTGAGTACTGTGTTAGTGCTTTAAAAAAGGATAGCTTGTTTTTCTTTCTACCATGCTCTAAAGTAGACATTTATCCCCATACGATGGAAGAGAAAACTGAAGGTCAAAGGGAACAAATACTAGAACCAGTGGAAATCAAATCCAATTCATGCCTGGTAACAGGGCCCCTCAGCATCCCTCCATGTTGACCTAGGGTTGAGTCCTACCCCACTGCCAGTAGCCAGTGACTCCTGCCATTCGGGACAGCAGGGCTACCTCAACAAAACTGATCACAAACACATAGTGCAATAGTACACTTAACAATGTATTCATTTATTCAACAAACATTGGTCAAACAGTTATTAGGTGCCTGAAAGGCAGCTGGACTAGGCTAGGAGAAGGCACGACGTGTTCCTTCAAGGCAGCTCACAGCTTGGCTAAGGTGGTGATCTCCAAAACACCTTTTGACACAGCCTGGCCAAGGAGTATTTTAGAAATAAACCATTTCACTGGTGGAGGGTTGTAAGTGTGACCTTGAATTTCCTGGAGTGGAATGAAATTCCTTATGAAATTCTTTGGCATTCATAAAAAGAAGGAAAATTTAATGAAGCAGCTTCAGCATTTAAGTAATAATATTTAAAATAAAAATAAGGCAATAAAAAGGTTATTTATGACATTTAAAAAAAAATTCTGGACATCCAAGGTCTGGCTCAAAAATAGAAAAATGCTTTTATATGCTTCAGTGTTCTATTTATGTGGGGATGATTTAGCAAGCACAAGCCATACAAATGTCTGAGATTAGGTACCACGGGTCTGGATGCTGGGGTTTTCATACTTTGCCAAAACCTCCAGTCTTGACAGCATCTGTAACAGTCTAGCATGCATTTCTTGGGGAACATGTGTGGAGAAACTGGCCCCACATAAGCACTAGGGAGAAGACTAATGATGCCTGGTTTACTTTATTCCACAAGCATGGAATATCAGCTTGTCTTCTATTCCACAACAACACGCAGCTTGGCAGTATCAGGAGCATGAAAAGAAGAAGGGACACAAACCCCAAGTGCAGAGCAGGGAAACATGCTGATCACCTGCACAGAGTGGCTGCTTCTCAAAGCTGCTCAGTCTGCTCATTTGAGTGAATGGTAACTAACACAGATGTATCCTAATTGGCCTCCCTCTAACTACGATAAATCCAATAGGTGTTATAATGCACACCCCTTGTGCCTTCTTGTCTAGAATCATGAACGCCTGTGCTACTGTGTCACCAGGCAGAGGCAGGGGAGCACTGCCAGGGAGGAGCAGCTCCTGGTTTCATCTCTGACTGGCTGGGCAGATCCCTGGATCTCAAACCACAGTGACAGCTTCCATCTTCGGGTCCCTCAACTGCCCCTTCCTCTACAATGCCTGCCCCCAGCCTGTCACAGGTCCTCTGGAATCCCCCTGAATCTGCATGGGCACCTCTTCTTTCTGCTTCCACAGCACTCTAGACTTCCACACGCTGCATAATGACCCGGTTACTTTGCTCTCTTTCTAGCCTTTGTGTTGCATCTGGCCAGCATTTACTTTCTTTAGTCACTGCAGCACTTAATCTTTAAAATTTGTTTTCAATATTAAAAATAAAGAATGTTCTGAAAAATTAGACAATCTGACAACCCTGGGTCCCACATCAAGGCAACATGAGCTAGAGCTAATGCTCAGTTGTCCCTTACATGGGACATATTCTTTAGTATACTAGTCTCCACCACTCCCCACTGTCACACTGGGCTGCCTTCCCTCATTTTATCACCAACCCAGCCACTGGAGTTGACCACCAATCAGAGTTTGAGGACTTAATAACAAGAACTGTGATTTTACTGTAGAACTGTCACTCACAATATGTGCCCAATGCATGTTAAATGAAGGAAGAAATTCACTAATTAGGGCTAATAGTTTACCTCTCAGAGTTCTAAGAGATAAAACAATATATGTGAAAAAAAGAGCAAATATAATCTGAGGTTGAAGTGAAGTCACTGTGATAGAACAAATCCAGGTCAGAATCCCATTTATTGAAGATAGTGCTGTAATATAGAAAAGGAGGAAGAATGGTGATAATTAGAAAGAAAATTATCTTTCTAATTTTTACAATCAGTAACATTTCTGAGAATTATCTATATTTTTGATTGTGTAAATGACCAAAACATGTGCTTTGGAATAATTCTAATAATCTGGATACTCATTTTTTTTCAGAATAAATTATTTAATTTTCTTTTTTTCCTATCTCTTCAAAGCTATTTATTATCCAACAGATGCCGTGTACGTAATTGGTAACAGTTTTCATCTAAAAAACTGTATTTACATTATGTAATGAAGCTATATTTAACCCATACATTTTTTTCTAATATGCAATAAGAAAAAACATTTTTAAAGTTTCGACATTAAACTGGTGGTTTTACAATTTATAAATCGGCACTGAAATAAAGCCAACACTATAAATACAGCCTTTGACATTTTAATGGCACAACATAATCATGAATGACTTAGAAATACTGTCAGTCCCACATGCTAAGAGAATAAAAACATTAATTAGAAATTTAGAGTAATGCTATTTCCAAACAAAACAATAACCCCCGGCCTCTAGCTATTCCGTATCTTAGCCTTCAGTCTCACTATACTCTGAAAATCATTCTTCTTACATACTAGAGTTGGCAG